CCCACCACCTGCTCTGCTTCCAGGTTGCCAGGTGAAAGAGCAAGAGTATCAAGATGGTTTAGAGGAGGAAACATCAGAGAGACTCAGCCACATGATTTTTTACAGGTTTTCTGATAATAGAGGATGAGAGTTGACTGGTATTACCATAGAGCGGAAGAGCGGCTTGTTGATGCTTTGGATCAGGACGTGGATGAGTTGGTCGTTACAGACTGAGCTCCATTGCGCACCAGCCAGAGAGAGCCAAGGCTGGCTGATCACATACAGGTTAGTGCTGATGTTCACTGACTGGTAACTTACTGTAGGAGAGAGAGGAAGGAGAGGAAGAAAGAGGTGTAATTTATCATAATGCCAGTATTAAATTCTCCTCTCACCACCCAACACACACACACACATACACACACAGCACCTCCATCTTCCCTCTAATGATCTTTCTCTATATTGCCATTGACTGCATCCTTTTGAAAGTCTAATGATCTATCTGCTAACAGTAAACAGCTGAGATGAGTGGGAAACAGACCGCCGTGAGACCGGGGGCTGGGGCGGGGGCGGGGAGGGGGCGGGAAGATTCAATTTTGTCCATAAGAGGAAGACCATTATCTTGAGAGGAAATTATTTCTTTGTCAGATTCATACTACTGGAGTTATATAATCTCTTATTGCCTCTGGTGGTGATGCACACTAGGGTCAGTTCAATAATAGTGCTGAAATAGTTTGTGAAATGTTGTGGATCCATTTTTCATAATTCTAAGTCATTAACGTCCACTTTCACAGAGACTGCTAGTGCTGTGAAAAGTTACATGAATATGCAACATGTTGCTTTATGTTATCTGTACATTTAGACTCTTTTAGTCATTTGTGGTCACTTCCATAAAAGAAATCTTAAGGCTTACAGTATTAGACACTATACAAATGTAAACCTTAATTGATTGCATTTAAAAGCCGTCTCACAGTTCAACAATGTAGAACGAACTCTCGGTTGTTGGTCTAATAGGTCAGTAATAGTAAAGTAAAAGTATTAAATTTGGGAGCACAAACTAACAAACTTTTTTCTCTATATGACTAATACTTTCAACTCAGGTAGTGAATTACCATTCACAGTGACACTTGTCTTTTCCAAGACTTCAAATCCATAACCTGTGTGGAGTAATGTGAGTGCCGGGGTCTACTGTGACATCTAAGACTTGAGTAGCAGCTGATGGACTGATAGTAGAATCATGAATTCTAGGCATGACACTGAAAAGAAACACTATTTTTATAATTGATTGGTTATTTAATGCACATTAAATACTGCGTCTGTATTGTCATCAACTGGATTTTTTTCTAGCAACTGAGGTCCAGGGCATATGTAACTCTAAATTTCACTACTAAGACTTCACAATACATAAGGCTTTCTGTATTATATTTTTGATGAAACTAAGTGAAGAGTATTTTCACCAATACTGAAAATGGTCTTGAATGATGCTCAACCCTGCGTTGAGTTTGTCAGCAGTTTGTCTGTCTTCCTCTTTAATCATCAGTAAATCAACTTAACAGCTCTACAAATATAAGAATTCACCATGTAAAGTTTGACTTCATACCTTAAACACGATGCTGAGCCACAACTTTGAGACAACTTCTTGTCTGTGTCTTTAACAGCGTGATTCATCCAACCAGCTATCTCTAGCTAGTGACAAATACAGTGTCATCCAAAGCCGATATCCCAGTTCTGATGAGATATCTAAGTGAGTATGTAATCAACGTTAAGAGGGATAAAACCTTTCGAGTGGACTGGTGTGTGTGTGGTTAAAACTGTTCGGTGTGCAGTCACTCTTACCATTTTCTCGCCTCTTTCCTTCCAGATTGTTCTCCCCACCATTTCTGTTATGTCTAGACCTCCCACCCATTTCTCTTGTAAACAAATACTTATCATCCTTCTTCTTTTCTAAAGCCACCTCTCTCATTATAAACTCCACTCAACTCTGTCTCACCTCTCCACTGCTTCTCAAACAATTCTCTCTCTACTGAATAACTTTTCTCTCTCTAGGTTTTCCTGTCCCTCTATTTCTCTTCCTGCTCTTTCCTTTTCTCTCTCCTCACTTCCTGCCCATGAAACTTCACTCTCACCTGCCTATTAACCTCCCTGCTCTCCCTCCCTCTCCCTCCCCTCTGATCGGTGTTCTACAAGATGGAGTCACTGAGGGACGTGGTAGTCATCTGTACCTGAGTTACATCAACTATCACACCACACACACACACACACACACACACAGTTGAAATGCTCACAGTGAAATAGTCTCATTTCTCCATAGTAGGTATAAACAGGTGTTTCATGCGTTACATGCTATGGACTGTATAACTGAGTGCTTGGCGTGTACTGTGTGTTTGATATTTAGGAGTAGGACTGGGTAATAACCTTAACTTAAATCTTCTTTATGTCAGTTAATCAGTTGGTACTTTTCCAATGCTGCATTCAATGAAACCTGTCCCGGTTATACATATTCGTTGATGGCCCTCCCACCCTGTCCAATCTAACGTTAGTTTTGTCTCAGTCAAAGTGAAGCTGGTTGATATGGACAACACAAGTTAAAATTGTAGTTTAGTTTTTTTTTTCAGGAATAGTATGGATCTGTAACACTCATTAAAGCCTGTTGTCCTCAGATGCAACGGGATTCGCGTATCACCCACAAAAGTCTGCTAGTAATCACCATAAGCTGAAGAGCCACCACCATACAAAACAAGATAAAACTAAGGCGAAGAAGTAAGCCGATACACAAGTTCAACCATGGAGCCTTAGTTGCATCCACACTAATAGCGTATTTAGTTTTAAAACAGCCATCACTTTTTAAGCTACATTCCATCAGCTTTTCCACTTTACTCCAGAGTATTCAAAGCCACTAAAACACGAAGAACTTTTGGAAAGATCTATGGACGCAGCAGCTGTGGCTCAGGAGTAGAGTGGGCGGACTAATCGGGAAGAAGCTCACCCGTGGTCTCGACCCCCAAGCTCATTCAGTCCCCTATGATCCCCTGAGCCAAGAATACCTTGTAACCCTGGGCAAGATAGTTAATCTTCAATAGGAGAAAAGAAAGTGATAGAAATAGAAGGCGAAACAAGAGATTAACATTGACACTGCTTTCTACCTCTTGGAGAGTAAAAATAAGCTGACATGACGAATGTTGACATTTTGTGTGTCTGTGCATATGTGTGTGTGTGTGTGTGTGTGTGTGTGTGTGTGTGTGTGTGTGTGTGTGTGTGTGTGTGTGTGAGTGTGTGTGTACCTGATCTGTTGTTGAGACATTGTGCTATAGTGCAGGTTCAGTCTGGTGATGTGGCTGTCTGTCAGTTCCTGAATAGAAGCTTTTTCCCCTGAAGTCTGCTGCAGCTCTGGGTCCACAGCCTGGACCAACTCTCTGTCCTCAGATGGAAGCCACAGCACCTACACACACACACACACACACACACACACACACACACACACACACGCACAGACACACAAAATATTTCGTCACCACTTGCAACAAAGGAAAGCTCTTGAGGTTATTGAACACTGAGATCCAACATGGTGAACAGTGATCCAAGAAAAGGTTTGTTGAAATAATATATTCAAAGAGTTACTCATTGATTATCAGCTAAGTCGTACAACAAACAAACCCATAAACATATAATACAATTCACTGTCACTTTACAACTTACTGTTGAAGTGAAAACTTCGGTACAGTTACCTGTGAGGAGTTGATGTGGGCTTGCACCACCTGCAGAGTTGTGTTGATGTATGACTGGCTGTAAGGATGTCCATACGGTGGCCTACGCAGGTCAAACAGCACTAGTCTGCCGCCACGGGCTGCTACCTCCAGAAACTGGGCCAGTGAGGGAACAGACTGGTTCTGGGCCTGCAAGCGGTCCACCTCAGACAGGGACGACACAGTACCAAATGGATCCCTCTGTAAGAGAGTGATGTTGAAAAAAAAAATGCATAAAAGAAGAAAGAATGAATAAAGAAAACGGTGGATGGTGGACCTCAAATATGTGTGAAAATCTGTTAAAATGATCTATCACCTTTAAAAAAATTAGTAGAGCCTAGAATGAGCCTCATTTATGATGCACAAAAAGGATGTGACATTCTCAGTGTAGGTGTTACAACTATTTCCAATTCATTATCATAACAGTTCACAACATCCATGTTATTTAAATGTAGCCATTCTTATATAAATATGGACTTTGTTATGTTTTTATATAAATTGAAGGATTCCTTTTTTCTCTCTAGAATCAGTAAATCTTTGACCCTAGAAGAATACAAAGGTCACATCCCAAAACGTGCATGTGCAGATCACTTGAAGGGATTGCTTTCACTCTTCACTCTCAAATTAAATTGCATCATTTCAATGCAATTGATCAGGGACATTGTGCATTTTAAAAATATGCATTTTCACATCATTTTGGATTACTACCATGACAATATTTATAAAAACATAACACAGTCTGTTGTTCTAATATGCTCACTGATGAACTGAGCTCTATGTTCTGAAGTAGTCCTTCAAATTTTTGCGAGTGGTCACATACAACATGCATCATACAAAATAACATTGGTAAAACAAGACTTATAGTGAATGGATCTGGATCTCATTCTCCCACAGCGATGTGACAATGTAACAGCAAATGTTTGTTCAGCTTGTTTGTTCAGCTGGATGTCTGTAGACAGCTCACTTTCCCTGTGGCCACTAATCAGCTGACTGAGTTACTATAGTGAGTCGATTCCTCTCTCTCTCAATCCTCTCACATAATTATTTTCTCTGAGATTAACATTTTTCAGATTTTACTGTTTTTGAGCTCATCATCTGTGACAGATGTAACTCTTGGCTGTAATTCTCTCTGGTTTATTTCTAGATTTCTAGAAGCTGTGAACTCGTTTTCACTCGTGATGAATTTAGCAGCAAGTCACATTACATGAGTCTTCAGAAACTTAAACTGGACTAACGAAACACTTAAGGCTGATTAACTCTGACAGAACCACTATGGACAGACTTGAAAACACTTGTTGACTTGAAATAAAATATAAAATGTAAAAAATAATCAAACATCAGTAAATATCAACATCAAGGTTTGCAGGTTTGCACAGTTACTGTAAAGATGGCAACCGGATATTTGTTTTCACCTAGCAACAATGCTGCATTTTGTGTTGAGAGACATAATGTACAAGATATGTTTTTTATTTACTTCAGAATTATCTCAGTGAAAAAACACATCTTCAAACATCACAGTTTTCAGGTTTTCAAGTCTCTAGGCTACGATGTGTGTCATTCTCACTCCAGTGGGAAGTTCATTCTTAAGTGAAAACGCATATTTGTATTCTGTTTAGCAAACCAAGCCTTATCTTGAAACAACTACAAGTTGTGTTTGTGTGTTTTTGTTAGTCTCACCGATAAGAACCAGTCGCCAGCATTCAGCTGCTGCAGCTCGGACCAGGTGAACATGGAGGCATCGAGGTGTGTTCGATTTGGGAAAACCTCAGCAACATTTGTGGTTCTCCTCAGAGTGGAGTCGTGCATCAGGAAAGGAATGCCATCATAACTACAGCGAGGGAAAGTGTAGGTCACAAACATGAGCAAAAGAGCAAATGAAGGGATTCAAAGAGGATGATTAAAGTCACCAATATGTATTTGATGCTCCGAAGCATTAAAGTCTGGCTTTAATAAAGCCGTCTATTTTATTGATGAGCACATACACACACATGAATAAGACAGATGTGTGTCTTAAAAACACATCTATTGGCTGTCACCTTGATTAATTACAAGAGTGATATCAGTTATGTACATGCCCATAAATATAATATGCCCACACACACACACACACGCTAACATCTCATTCTCACACACAAAAGGAACTAAAAGACTCTGCCAGCAGCATGAGATTAAGCTAACTTGCTAACGCTCATTCATGTCATGCTGCTAATCCCTCCATTTTCAGCTAATGGAAAGGCTAACGGCTAACTGGATTAGCATGGCAGTAATCACCTTAGCGCTGAGGGTAGCATGCTAGCATCTGATCTGTATAATTAGCACCGAGGCACAGACTGTTGGCCGACTGCTGCTCTGATCATTTTAGCAGCAGAACTCATGATGCTAGTAATTTGATCATGTCATTCAAAGATAACTGTGTCACCTTGAAACAGTTGTGAAGGTACATTTGAACAATTTGTTCCATTAGTCATGCAGTCGCTAATCAAGGCTGGTTTGGTTGTACTTGTGAAACCTTATCATGCTATCAGCTGTTTTAGGATACATATTGCTTTATAGTTTACAGAAACATATTTGATGATCTTAAGTAGAGAAAGGCTGTTATCAAAAGTCATGACTTAAAATAATTAAAGTAGGTGAGTAAATGACTAAATCATTTAAGTGGGATCATCTGCTCAGTGATGTACATTTGACATTTACACAGGAGACCATCCAGTGTCAGTGGGTTCTATAATCCATAAAGACAGGAATTTCCATCTATACTTCTCAGGCCTGTGTAAACACAATTTAAAAAGGCATCCTGGGGAGTCCTCTAGTTATGTAAACATTCAGTGTTTCTCACCAAAATGAATAAAACAGGGAGCTGCTCAGTAAAACATTGTTTCATGGTTCTACTTCTGGTCAAAAGCTCCACAGGGTGTGTTTGCAGAGTTTGTTTTTAATTTCTTTTGCTTTCTTTTTTTAAAGTTTCCACAAGGCATCAGGAAACCCAATAGAAAACTGACCAATGCAGTGATAAAACTTGGAGAACACCAAAACATACAATTATTTACTGTCAGATCACTGATACCTGATGGTGACGTCAGTCTCCAGTCCTTCTCCTCCAGTCTCCACTGCCTTCTCAAACGACATCACAGTATTCTCTGGAGCAAGCTACAAACACACACACAATGAGACAAACGCATTCCCAGACTGACTACACACATACACACAACCACAAACACACACTGTCCATATCTCCAGATCTCATCAATGAAGCTGATGACTAACATTATCATAGCCAACAGAAAAGATGGTTGATGTTAGAGGTAAAACACAGACGTAACACAGAGTTGAGACAGGTCCAGCTGTCACGGTTCAGTTCAGTCTTACCATTGGAGCTCCTCTGTGTCCGATAAGTCTTGGGGCTGGTCCCAGTGTTCCTGCTTCTTTAATACAGGGCGAGTACATTCCCAGAGGGACCAGGTAGAGAGAGAACAGCATGGACAGGTAGAGACCCAAGACAGCCACCTGACGCACTTAAGGGCACACAACACAAAGATGGTGGTTTCACAGTACACGGACTTAAAAATCAATCGTGTGAAAACGCGGTAAAAGTCGGGGTCACAGTATAAAGCTTATACTAGCATACTGTGTCATTTTACAAGTTCAACTGAGATTTTTACTTTTTAATAATTTTTTTTATATATTGCAAACACATGTACTTTATGTAATAGTTTACAGTTAGTTATATGAGCTGGAAACGCCATTAGTTTCACAACATTTTTCAACTACATCCTGAACTTTCCACATTCACCATTTTAGTTTTCACTGTTTTGACCTCGACTTATTTTTACTGAAATTACCTACACAAGGCTTCATACAAAATCTGTGCATCACACAGTTGACAAAAACTCTGCACACAGACACACACACAGACAAGTCCACCTGCAGCATACAAACAAATCCAAAAAACAATAGTTTCACCTTCGAGCCTCTAAATATGGCCCAATGAAGGGTTACACAAGTTTGCTAGTGTAGAAATCAGAACTTAATCAGGATAATATACAGTAAATCTCTCCTGATAGGATCAACATAGTGGTACCAGCCATATGGGATACAGTCAGAATGACAGCCATCTGGTCAGGAAGCAAAGCCGCCTGGGAAAACAGACCGAACTGGGACTTTCATAGTAGTGTCTCCAAAATTTGAAACTGAGGTAAGAAAGTTTTTTCCATTTAGTGAATTTATAGCTCACATGGTTATTTGCTTACACCACTAAAACGGGCTCATGTCTGGTTATTGCAGCACTTACTGGAATAAAATAAATCAATGTCAGTGTGAAAACCTAACGCTCTTTAATCAACATGTTGTATAGTTTTATTGATTACCTTCTCTGCCCTACTGCACGTCATCATAAAGAAAGAGAGAGAGTAGACCTGCTTGGTTTAAAATGTCAACAGGTGATCTTTGTTAGGCTCCGTACTGTTTCCTCTCAGTGAGAGGTCCCAGCATGCATCAGCACAGACACAGGTACAGCTGCCATGTTGGCACCTGATTAGCTAACAAAACTACCCAAAACCACTGACCACCTGTTACAGAGCTGATGAGATACATAGAAAGAAAGAAAGAAAGAAAGAAAGAAAGAAAGAAAGAAAGAAAGAAAGAAAGAAAGAAAAAGAGAGAGAAAGAAAGAAAAGCTAATTAGATCCTTTGGCAAATCTCTCTTTAAGTTATCTCCTTCCAGGAGAGACCCTCCTGACATGACTCTGCATCACTCTCCTCTGAATCACCATGACAACCAGGGACAGTACCCATGGAGACCAAAGAAAGAAGAGAGATGCAGAGGTCAAAGCCATTCAGTGAAGAGGAAAAGGCAGTCAGACACACTGCAAGACAGAAGGAGTGACCAAAAGACGAGTAAAAAGAACAGATAAGAGAAGAAGTCAGAACGATCAAGAGAACAAAAAACACCAGAAACAGAAAGCATCAGAGGGGCTGCAGAGGAGAAGACTGCAAAAAGGAGTAGGAAAATGAGACATTGATTTTTTGTTCAGAGGAAGTGGTGAGGGAGAAAGAAGGGTGGCAGGGAGGTTTACAAGTGTATAATCCATTCCAGACAAGTGCGTCACACTTGTTGGGCGCGGTGGGGGGGGGGGGGGGGGGGGGGGTTCAGTTCAGAATAGCTGTATTCCTGGTGGGCAGAGCAGCTCAGTACTACTACAACTGAGGCTTATAGAGCAGAAACCCTCCACTGTCTGCCTGAAATCACCCAATGTCATTTCAATAAGGTCCTCGAGGCCTTTTTTTCCTCTAGTTACTGCTGGAGTGAAGGAGAGCTCTCTCTCTTTCAGGTGTTTTGATGTACAGTTGGTCCTGAAAGGACTGGCTAAGACATACACTGGTCTAGATTAAGACACAAGTACGAGTAAATTGAATCTAGCAATGAATAACACTTTCAGATATTATTTTAGATTTTAGATATTAATACTTGTTTTAATAATTACTCTAAACATATTAAATGGGATTTTTTTCTCTTATTTATCCTGGATCAGCTGTCTACGTCACTTTTTACATGTTTTCCTGTTTTGTTTTCATAATAATCTATATATTTACAGCATATAAGGCCACCTAAGCAAAACGGTTTGAGGAAGGTGAGTGAATTTCTCATGTCCCACAGAGTTTTTCTCTAAACAGTATGTGCTAACACAGATAAGCAGATTAAATGTTTGATAAGATACATCTAGACCTGCTGCAAGTGGACTTTCAAGCAAAGACCCACCTCATTTCCAGCTAACAAACAAACACTAACAAGCTTGCTCACCTTTCTTGTTCATGCGGAAGAAGTGTAACGCTATGGGCCAGGAGAGAACTGCCATTAGTGAGACTGCAGCCACATGGAGGAACGGAGCTGTCACCTGAAGATAAAAAGAGGAAGAGGATGAAAATGTCAGCACAGTCTCAAATATTCCAGTTACAGTTTATATAAACACAGTATAAGTAGCCACAGCATTAAGTTTACTATTCATACAATCTAATTATAAAAAAAAAAACCCAGTAACCCCCTCCTGTGATCGGCTGGCATGTCAGGTTAGCTAACCTGCAGAGAGAGGAGAAGAGTCTTCCATTCTTTGCTCCAGAGGTCAGACAGGATGGCGGTGGCTGTGACGGAGAATGCCAACGTCACCACGATGCCAGTCTGCCACAAACAGAGGAGGACGAGAAAACACAACTTATAACAACGTATAACAAAAAGACATGTCAGTCAGTGTTTGTGTTTATTGATTGTGTGTGTGTGTGTGTGTGTGTGTGTGTGTGTGTGTGTGTGTGTGTGTGTGTGTGTGTGTGTACCTTGTGGCTCCAGTGAAGGTAAAGCCTCTGACCCTCAGAAAGCAGACACACTGCCAGCACCTGAACAATGTTTAGATACTCATTAAATTTTGTTGCATAAAGCTGCTTCAAGTAAAACTCTCCTACACTCTCCTTGTCTCTTCTGAAACTTGAAACTTAATTTTCAATTGACTCCAACAATCTTTATAAACTGAACATCATTGAAGAACAATTTATCTTATAATAAAACATGTGGATATCTCGTCACTGCTGTCAGTGTTAGTCTCATCTGTGTCTGTTTTTCTATAATTCTTACATAAATTTCGTCACTACGCAAACAACCTTCTAAATGTCACACGAAGTGCTGGGAGGGACAAGATGCTAAACTGCACACATAAGTTTTCATGGCACATCCAGGGATTTGAACTGGTGACCTCTAATCTTAAAATGTCACTGCAGCTTGGTTACAGAGGGAGGCAAACAGAGTATAATCAGATCTCTGAGTTTACTAGTGATTTGTTTTCAGTGTTCTTACCAACAGCAGGGCGATGTATGTGAAGAGAGAAGCAGCAACAACCAGCAGGACAAGAGACCAGGGAAACCAGAAACCAAGAGTCCCAAAGTTAAACCTGAAGACGCAAATGAAAAGCAGACATCAGACATCACATACAGTGTGCCTCATACTGTCAATCAAGTTTGATTGATGGGTTGGTCACATTCATTCACTGTAAGATGATCAGTTCACTCATTCCTTTATTTCATTTCTTTAGTCTACAGACTTCAACTAACATGAGTGTGTGTTTGCCAACATGCAACATGTAACAGTATTCACTGTGTGTGTGACCCACCAGTCAAAGTCGTTGTAGTCGTTCTGAGCTTCACTCCAGAAATAGAGGAATAGAAAACTCAGGAAGAAGGTGAGGATCAGGAGGCCAAAACTCCCACACTCCACCTGTAATACACACACACACACACACACACACACACACACACACACACACACACACACACACACACACACACAAATATTATGCTTCATCTTACCCCATGGGTCACCAGCTTTAGTGCATTAGAGTAAAATGGGGAACATACAAAATATTAAATCATTCTGAAATTCATGTACATTTTTCAAAAATTTTATTTTTCACTCACACTGTAAAAACTGATATCATAATGAAAAAATAGTATTACATTCAAAACAAATGCAAAAGAAGTATCTTGACTAGTGCTCTGTATGTGTTTATTTTATTATCATTAAGCTAAATTATTAAGCTTAACAAGGCTGTAGTCATGGTGTCTAGATCTATAGTCAAAATAACATTTTTTACATGTTTATAGTGATAATTTAAGGCAAGACAGCAACTCATTAATGCTACACAATCTAGCAGATACACAGGACGTCAGTCATATTACACAGTGCATATGAAAGCAGTATATTTTGATACTGGCTGGCAGAGTATGTGCTGATATATTTTCAGAGAAAAGCAATAACTGACTGTTGGAGTCAGCAGGCTGGATGAAGGAAAACTGGCTGGGGAATCGATACTGTCTGCACAATCAGCAAACTAACCCAACTCAACAAACTGCTTATAGGGGTGTGTGTGTGTGTGTGTGTGTGTGTGTGTGTGTGTGTGTGTGTGTGTGTGCATATGTATGCTCGTGTGATTATTTACTATTAGTCCCACATGTGTGTATGTCTGTGCGTTTGTGTGTATGGGATGTATGAGGTTATCACCAGATAAACCAGCAGCTACACAGTGGCTTTGGCTATAGCAGCTCATTATCAACTGGCTTAGTTTTAATAGTAGAGTGTGAAGATAAAAGGTATGTCTTAACAATTTGGTTATTTTTCAGGTTGTTTTTCTGTTCTTACTGACAAAACAAATTTAACTGTATGTTTCCTCAAGAGGGGAGATGACAAGGTAAGCGACAATCGTCACGATTGGCTGCTTAGTTATCAAAGTATTGTTAGCTATCACACATAATACACATGCATGTGCCTGCACACGTGTATAGGTGTGATACTTATTTGTACTTATCACAGACGCACATACATACACGTGAGACTTTTAGCAAATAACCACATAAGCATAAGTACGTGCATCTTGTCCTCTTTGTCCTCCCAGTGCGTGTGTGTGTGTGTGTGTGCGCACCTTGCTGCAGCAGCACTCTCCTGGTTGTGCCCGGGCTCTTTGATATCGTCTCCATTGGCAACCATAGAGGCCGGCCAGGCAGGAGACAAACGGCTGGTGTTCATATCTGGAATCAACCAATTAAATAAACATCAGTTACCGGAGAAGAGCATCAGACGTTTATCTGAATAAACTGAGACCTAAACCCACAACATTATTAAAAACACTTAAACTACAGTCATTGAGCAATATATTCTCTGATTGATAAGTTTTAAAAAATTAACATCTTAGAGAATTTAAGGATGAAGTGTTCTGGTGGAGCTTGTTTTATCAGAGCTAGAGCACTGGAAACTAAATAAACTGATGAAATTGAGCCTTCGGTGTAAAATTTCTGTTCTGACAGCAGGTTCCATTTTGGATCTGATTCATGGTTGATGAAATACAGAAATTCACTGGGCTCTCAGGCTAAAGAATCTCTTATCAAACCTCATAATGCTTTTTAATGTGCAATGTGAAAAAAACATTCATGTAGCAGCTCCTATGTTTTAGCAGGTGCTGACTGTCAGACATCACTGATGGTCTGGCTGACTGAGATCTGAAATGTGCTCAGTCATCTGAAGAGGCCAGAGAGGAGATGCTTCTCTAGTGAACCGACTGAGCTGCCTCTCCCAGTTAATCTTTTATATCTTGTCGACAATTATATATATCAACCTAATGGTTCTGAACCAGGACCTCCAGTATTGAAGGAAGTACTTTATGAAAAATAAGGCGTGGAAAACATAGTAGATTTAATGTGTCAGAGACATATTCCATCAGAATGTCTTAGCTTCTGTTGCTCATTTCATTTTTCAATTTCAATCAGATCACTGAGTTTTAGTTATTTTTTTTACTTTAATCACAAATGGATGAATCAAAATTGATTGGATAATGTGAAAAAGGGGTCAGATTCAATTATCAGATTTGCTTCTGGGTTCATATTGAATCAAACCCAACTCTACCACTGGGTTTCATAATCATATAGTAGTCAAACCAATTTGCCACAAAAAATAGACAATTGGCCTCTTTAGATGATGCATTCAGGCTGTCTCTGTACCGTGACTCATCCTTCAGCCCAGACACAGAAAGTAGGCTGCTGTACTTCAGAACAAACAGTTCTCCAAAGTTTGTAGATCAACCTGAGTAACCAGGACATTATTTGGAGATACAGTATTACTGCAGATTTTTTATTGCAATGTAATTTTAATTGTAATTGAATTAGAGTGGTGGCAAAAGAATCTCAAAACCACACCAACTCAAATGTGCTTAAAAGAAGTACTGTATCTGCAAGGCTAGACAGAGGACAGGAGGATAAAACGTTTTTTTGTTTGATTGTTTTATCTTGTGACAGATAACAGATGGTCACTCAACACACTTCTACTAATTGCAGTTTAAATAACAGTCATGAAGCAATGTGAATCTATACACAACCTGATGACCGTTACCTCCATAGTTACTGCAACAGTTTCCACAGCAACCAATAGCAAAGTCATGCATTATGATAGGTTACAGAACTTTAAAAACTGTAAAAGAGAAATTAGGCTGTTTATCAGAAAATGAACTTGGTGGTGATGTGCATTGTTCTGTACCTTTGCAGCAGCTGCCGCCGCACCACCTTTAGCTTCCCCAGCTTCAGTCTGGTCACGGGCATACAATCACCCACAGCTCGGCATCACAGAAACAGAGAGAGAGAAGGAGAGGATGGGAAGAGAGAGAAGTAGAATAAAGAAGGGACAGGAAAGAGAGAGGATAGTGGGGAAAAAAGGTAGAACTCTTCGGTTCCCTACTTTCACCTAGAAGGAGAGAAGAAAGTTTGAATCAATTTAAAGTATATTTTTAGGAAAACTAGACTCAGCAGGATTCAGTGTGTGTGTGTGTATATGTGTGTGTGTGTGTGTGTGTGTGTGTGTGTGTGTGTGGCAGTGGAGTCCTGTTTTATTCCTGTGGCCTGCTTAAATTAAACCAGAGGATACAGATACTCTCAGAGAAACACACTGTGTAACTGATATAACTGTGTATACACTGTGACTGTGCTTCCATACAATGACAATGATCATGTCTTTTTTTTTTTTTTTACTTAACAAGTGAACTACACATTCTTAAATCATTATCACAACTCTTCCACAGGTTTACACCATCTGCTTTTTATATTGGTCCTTACCCTTGCTTTTTTAAATGTACTTATTCCCCTCAGTTCATACAGGCTCTTCCTCTGAATCCAGTATGGGAGTACATGATTTTGTGATTTATACATTATCTATTCAGTTTCAAGGTCAACCGGTTCATGACATTTTAAAGCATATAAATGAATAAATAGTGGGTTGGTTGGTTCATAATAATCTGATTGATTGATGATTCTTATAGCTTTCTTCTACAGCATGAAAACTAAATTTGTGTTCGTTTTAAGTGTTTCCCCATATCTGCACATGATACATAATGTATAGTTATATGAGAGAGCAGAATAATATATGTAGTGATTTCTGCTTTATGCAACAGTTTCTGACACCTCTACAACAGCAGCAGCCCTGTGGTTTAATAAAAATAGTTATGCAACAGCTCTATATCCACTGCTCCACTGAACCAGATACCACAGCCACACAGCAATCAACTGGTGAATCAGCCAACTGGTGAAGCAGGCCAGTCAATCAGCCAATAAGTGAGACCCCGGAGTGTACCAGCCCTCCTTGGTTTACACGTTATATCAAGAGCCAACAGCAAGTCTGTAATGTGTCACAAATATATCTAAGTGCTCATTTCCTCCCTGATCAAGTTCAGACCCAGTTAACTGCTGAGCTTCCTCGTTTCTGTAGTTCTCCTGATGGTGATCCTGATACCTTACAGACCCAGATTGGTGGCCTAAATCTACTTAATGTAGGTCCAACAACAGCTTTTAACAGTTAAGAACAAAGAGGTCAGTCTCACGGTTAAGTACACACACTCCATCTATTGGCTGGTGTGAACTAGTTTGGTCATAAGCTTCAGGATGTACGATTTCAATACAGAGAAGCAGATTAGCAGTGATGGTGGAAGTGTTTTCTAACATTGATGTCATAATTAGTACATGTGCACTGTGTGTGCCCGTAACAGGATATAGTTGTATGGGTGAACCTGGTGTTAGAGGCTGACAGATGGTAAGTACACTGGTGTGATGATCCCACACACACTGACTGTGTTGCTTCAATAAATCAGGACTGAATAATAGATGCTGCTGTCTGTAGCTGCTTTGTTGGTTGTCTCTTCAATAAGCAACAACCTGATATAGAAATGTGTCTGTGAGCATAATATTCTACTAATGACAGACTGATGACACCTGTGGGAACACAGTCAGAGTCTGACATCAGCTTTTTTGTCAAGAAAATTTACTGGGGTTGGGGCTCATAACTTTTTCACTGATAAACTTAAAGCTTAAACTGCTAGTTACAAGAGTTACAAAATAAATAAATTGCATTTAATCGTTAATGAAAGATTTATTTCAACTGGTCACAAACTAGAAAATGAAATAAGTTCTGAAACTAATCATAGGCAGATCATCATCAAACTACTTCATTGCTGATACTTTTCGGGGACTCAACAGATCCCACTGTCAGGTCTGTTGGGGCTGTTTGTTTTTCATATTCCTCTTGCACATGGGTCAGTGTTTTGGTTGCCTGCCAGAAGCTCAAAATTTAACATAAGCCACATTTTTATGATAAAACTGTTTAGCTTGGACATTTTTAACTATTTATATTAACTGAATGAAGGATTTTAGTCATTGGACGTCTGGATCTTCGGTTATCAGAGAAATAATCTGAGGAAACATTAGCTCAGCTCAGCTCGCAGCCCCTCCTGGACGATTTTTAACGTGAAAATGTTTTATTCAGTGTTTTTACTGGTTTTAATAACCTGGTCTGTTTGTTTTGGAGAGGAGGAGATCTCTGTGAATAATTCAACTTCTGGTAAAAACCTCTTCAACAACTGACACTGAGGGAACCCTAACTAGGACAAGCTGATGGCAATGATGGTAATGATGGTGAAGACATCAACTCCCATGATACCACGCTAGGTCACCAAACTCTGCCTTTTGTTAGTGTTTGGATTGAGAGATCCCTAGTGGCAGAAAATTGCATACTGTGCGTTTAAATTTAAAACTGTCTCATTTATATAAAAGATAATGAAGTTGGCAAATCATGAAGTGAAATTAAGTTTCAACAGTTATCAAATCGGCACTGTTATCACAGCTGACAGTACCATGACAACAGTACTACACATACATTCTTCTGTAAAAACATGCAACCTTAACATTTAGTTTTGAAAAATTATTCTGCTTTATTCTATACGCCAATTTGCATAGCCTGTGGTTTGATCCAAATCCATGTATAAATGATCCATTCCATTCTGTTCTACTCTTGTATATAATAATACATTTATTTGTTAAAATCAACTGTAATCTATTGTATTCGAATCTATCCTGTATAATTTCTGTTCATTTTGGTTCTATTTTGTCTGTGTCTCTGCCACGAGACAACCAGGCCGATTCAACCAGCCAAGTCATCACATGGCTGCCATGGCAACTGTGACATCAGATCTGTTATTATGACTGCTGAGAAAAGGATGAAGGGAGGTGGGGTAAAAAAGAAAGAACCAGATGGAGTAATAAAGGGAGAGACTGAAGAAGTGAAAATGTGTGAGAGAAATTACCATCAGGCGTTATCTAAGCTGTTATACACTAAATACAAAACCACACATATTCTGCAGGGTGACAGTTCTCCCTTTACACTATGGTCCACACATACTCTAGTAATATGAGAGAGACATCAAATACAGAGTGTGAGAAATAAACGAAAACAGAGAAAATGACACAAGATGGGTGTGATCAGCACCCACATACTGACATTCAAATAAAAGTGAGATAGCTGAAGTTTTTTGTGAATAACAATGTCAGCCTGCAGACAGGTCTAATCTATGACTGTGACAGGGACTTGGGAAAATGAGAGGAACGACAAGAGGAAAACAAAGTGAATGAGAGATCAAATGTTGATTAAAGCAGATTAAGAGAGAAGAGGGTTGTAAGACACAGTAAAGACTTCAGGTGCAATAAGAGATAATAGAAAGAAAAAAAGGACACAAATAGAAGGTAGCAAAAACAGAGTCATTTAGAGTAGACCGATGCATTATTCAGTCATGTGACCAGACAGGAAATAACTGGCTGGGTTCAACCATTAACAAGACACCAAAGTCTGACTATCTACCCTCATGTCTATGCTTTTATTTTTATTCATATAAAATGAACCACAGGATTAGATTCAATGTGCTAATTAGTTCTCCAACTGTCTTACACCCAAGATATTTAATCTACTGTGATAAATGAATAACACAACCATGAATACCTCGTATTTAAGAAGCTGCAAAAAAAGACTGATCAAAGTAGAAGACAATTAATTTTCAACAAATTGATTAACTGACTATCAACCTAACTATTTCATGGAATGACAGTCTTCATTTTATATTCTTGTATATTAAAACACAGTGTTTTGTTTATGTACTCTATATATAAATTCTATACACACATCATCTACCTGCCCCATTTGACCATTTAATAAGTAGAGCGTATAATGATGTGACATTAAAAGTGATCTCAGAGGAAGTTAGTCCTGATTTGAATCTTGACAGCTGTGTTTTGTCAGCGAGCACGTGCAAGTGTCATAAAGTGTATGGATTATTTGAAGTCTAAAGGTTATTTCAAACTGGAAACTTATCTGACACCAGCTCAGGCAGTTACTCAAATCACAACAGAAATACTTATTACTGTTTTAATCCTGACTGATGCAAAAGTTCACAATATTTTTGATACTGACCTGCGAAAAAAAATCTGGGCTGTGATTACATGTTTGTTTTGAGTCTTTACTGTATTTCTAATGTTATAAAATACTAGCTGCTTGCTGGAAAACTAGACAAAAGGGGCTCCTGAATTAGGGATTTATGTATTCCTGCTCCAAAAGTGATGAAAGCCACTTCTTTGTCTCCATTGTGTTTGGTGATAGTGGTGGTAGCTATTGTAAATGTCTCCCGTCACGCTGCAGTCAGTTTCTTTCTAAAGGCTTATTAGTAAAGAATCAATTGTGTTTTGGCACTATAGTTGCAACAATTAGTCAATTACCAGAAAATGAATCACTGACTTTTAATGATCAATTAATTGTTTTGGTATTTCTTTCCACACAATAATACCATTGCTAGTTACACTTCCCAAATCTGTGCTTTCCTTTGTCACCTATCACTGTAAACTGAATATCTTTGGGTTTTAGACTGTTGGTCAGCCAAAACAAGACATTTGAAGATGTTACCTCAGATATTCTATTAATTTATTACAGAACAACTAATCTAAACTAATTAACCAGGAAAATAAGCAATAGATTAACTGATAATGAAAATAATAATTAGTTGCTGCCCTATTTAGCACCAGACTCGTGTCTCTCACCCAGGGACCTGTCAGACTACTTTAGACTGTTGAGAGTGTTTCTCTTTACCTGCCAATACGAGTGCAACTTTTTCCTCACTGTATTACAAACTATGGCTCTGCACCTAAAGTGGGTCAGATGTATGACAGCTGGTGGCATGAAAAGAGCAGTGACACACTTTGAGCCCCTGGAGATAACAGGACAGTACATTTCTTAAATTTAGGCTGAGTAGGTTTCAAAACCCCTGCTGGCCATGAAGGGGACACAGACAAAGATAGCACAAAGAGGAAAGAGGGAAGGAAGGAAAGAAGAATACTATAAGAATAGAGGAGAAACCACCAAAAGTCCCTCTATCTTTA